ATTATACGAAGGTGATTGAGTAATATCCAACATCAGAATTACACTGGCCCCTTGTAATTTTGTGAAGAACGAGCTGATACTTACTGAGGTCCCATGATACTCATATTGCTCATAATCAAAAAGAATTTCACGTCTAAAAGAGGAAAAAATAAGTCTGACTACATGGAAAACCAGACTTGTCCAATTCAAAATATAAACCTGAGCTGTGAAATAGCTTCATTCCATCTTAAAAGTAAGAAAAATATAGATTTGGAAAATCTATTAGATTCTTGATTCCTCAAACTCTGTTTCTTTTTTTCCTGATCATTTCATTTAAAAATACAGAGATTACAAAGAAAGAGGTTCAATTTTCATCCTAAGATAGAAAGCCAATAGTGCTGCTTAACAGTGAAGCTCTGCACCTTCTGCTCTTATTTACAAACAATTACTTCCAATTATCATCCACACCAACATTTTAGTTTTTTGCATGTATAAATACATCTCTCTGTTTTCTGTACAAGTGATAACTACAGCTTATTGCACACAAGCCCTGCAGCACCAACACGTGCAAAGACGCCGCCGGCTGCACTGCACACAGCAGGCTGGAGCTCACCTGCGCGCCTCCCATTCTCGCCTTTGCCGCCTTTTCATTGTTCTCTCTATTACCTCCTGCAAATTAATTTGGACATTAAAATGCTAGAAAAACTTACTCCAATAAATTAGCATCTATCCAGTTAGTTAAGTGACTGAATATTCATTAAAAGAGGAATTATTTATGACATTTCATGGGAAAAAGAATTATCACTAAACTTTTTCCTAGAAGATACTGGAAGTCACGCCATCTTCCTATGCTAGCGCTGATTTAGCTAATCTACACAGATAAAAGGACTTTCAATACTACCAACACTGCATCTCACCATTTTATAACATGATGAAAAATAAAGAGCAGCAATCAAGCTTGGAAACAGAGGAACTCGGTGTATATTTATGCTCTCTAAGAAGCATCATCATCTTCAAAACTCAGATCAAAAAGATCTACGTGCAATACTTCACAGATTCAAAAGTAGCTTTTGCACACGCTGGTTACAATTTGTCTTTCATTTTCCTGAGTAAATACTCCTGGATTAGTAGGAAGTGAATAATGTATAATGTTAATAGAACCAGCCAACAGAACAACCGTCTATATGAAGTTTGAGAATGCTTTTCCATCCAGTAGCATCAGTGTTGCTAGCCTTGTGCCTTTGCCTCCTTGCTTGATAGAAACAGGTCACGTGCTACAAATAAAACATGCCAAATTGACTAGTTCATGCCTACGTCACAATATATTTGTGTTAGATTACTGCCCCAAAGGCAGACAAAATTTACTTCTAAATTGTTTGCGAGCTTCTGTCTTCTCAAACAATTATTTCAAAATACATAAAAAAATAGTTTATATCTAAATTGGTTGTTTTGCTGAACTCAAAAGCCCAGAGCGCATAACCAGAGGGAAATCTCCTCGGTTAAGCAATTACACGGGGACAGTCACATACGTAACAGCTTTAACACATTTTGATAAGCAGAAAATATTTCAGTGCAGACCAGATAAACAATCCGTGCAAGTGAAACTCCAGTCATACTAATTATTTTTCTCAATTTACTTAATTTTATACCAATTTTTATATGTTGTTGCCATCAGTTATCTGCTCTAAGGACTTAGAATAACTGCTTTACTTTTCTTTTTAGAAAATGAAGCATGAGAAATTAACCTCTTCAAAACGTCTGCGCTTATCTGAAGGTTCCGAGCCATCACTTTCATTCTCTGAGTCCTCTTCTTCATCCTCTTCATCTCTGAAGATATCATCATAAGCAGGAACATCAAGATCATCATCTTGCTTAACTAACAGCTTAATCTAGCAAGAATAAATAGATACTTTTCAGCAAGGCACCACTTCAAACAACAAGTGAGAAAGCTTCAGAAACTTCAACAGTGAAGCAAAAACCTCATTTTGGCTGTTATCCATTCCTGGTATTAAAAAGCAGTGTTTTTAAAACTTGTGTTTTTACAAAGATTGTGCTGATTTATCCAACACAAACTGCATTCTTCTTCAACAATAAAATCACAGTTAGAGCATTGCATGGAAGAACTGTTGGTGGCTGTTACACATAGTGGGATGCTCATCTTCTGATCTGTACCAGTGTGAGGTGCAGAAACAGATATAGGTGCTTGCTACTGACAGCTATCACAGCACCAGCAGTGTAAGTTTTTATAACTCAAAACAGTATTTTTCTGATCTAACAGCACCAATGGATGTCTGCATCAGTAATGCTCATTTCCTGACTGCTAGCAGTTCTGCAAAACACAGAAAAGCACTGAGGCACCCCCCACCCCACAGAACAGAAACACTTTGTTATAGTACAAGCTGTAAGAAACGCTCAGCTTACCTGTGTCTCATTGTAAACATTCACTATATTGATAGGTCTGTGGCTATCACACACAAAAAAATAAGTGTCTTCTTCAGGCTGCAAGATCTCCAGCAGGTCAACATTGGCACCACAATTAATGAAAACAAAATACTTGAACTGCAAACAAAACCAAAACAAACATTTTAAATTTTTATTAATGGGAAACACGAAAGACTGCAGACACCTACACAAAACCCCCTAAGCACTCAGCACTGCCAAACCAGCATTTACTTCCCGGCATTAGATGACCCAAAGAAGGAAGAACTGTGCAAGACAGCAGACCATACTTAATCAGGACATTGGACACCCAATACCACCACCTTTCACATCCCAAAATGTGTGCAAGCTGAAGTTGAATCAATCAGACACGAGCTGATATTAAAAAAAAATAAAAATAAAAAAGACCTTGGCACATTTGGAAGCAGTATATTAAAACTTAACCACTGTGTTGAGGTAAGAAATAATATAATTACATTAAGAGCTGACATTTTAAGTTGGGGAAAGGACAGAAATATATATCTATATACAAAGAGCTGCAACTTTTCTTTTTACCTGATCTTTATGCTCAAGAAAGGCAGTTTCAAGTTCTTGCCATCCAGACACAGGGACTAGCGTATATTGCACGTGATCACATTGAAACAAAGCCTGAAATGAAGCAAACAGCTGTCAGCTATGGTAGGAAACAACCTCCTCTACATTACTGCATTGTGCTATAACTCTATCTCATACAAATCTTTGTCTTGAAGACATCCAAGCTGACAACTCGACATCGAATCTGGGAGTATGGCTTACTGAGCGTCCATGATGCGATACACGAAGAAAACATTTCGCAAAATCAGTTTAAACTTTTATCCTTTTCTGAGCTCAAACCCACTCTAAGAATCCCAATGACTTTTTCTGGTGTTAAACTTGCAGTGGTAATGAACAAACACTTACTTGGAGTATTTTACAGGCACATAATGCATCAACATCTGAGGCCACAAGAAGAAGAACTCGCTGCAAAAATAACAGAGTAACATTAATATGTTAACGAAAGGGACAAATTCAGAGAGTTGGCATATGAAGTGTGTGACTGTGGGATGAGAAAGGGAGAAATTTAGGCAGAGATCACTAAGAGCACGGAACAGGACAGGATCTAAAGAGGCACTGCAACAAAAGAAACGATTTGGATCCCAGTGAATAACGAGCAGCACCACTTCACGTGGTGAAATCACAGCCAAAAGCGCCCGTAGCTCCGTGCGGTCGCAGCCGTGCAGCCCCTGCTCGCAGCCCGGCGGCGCGCCTCGAACGGCTGCAGTTCTCAACATCCGGAACGGCCTTCGACAAAGAACGTCTGGGGCAAAACTGGCCGAGGAACGCAGCCTACGTCCGGGTCAGCTCATCTTCCGCTTCGTTTTGTGTGAGGCTTCCCTCTCAAAGCCGGAGCAGCTGGGACAAACGCTTTCCATCGCGCAGTCTGTGACTGTTCCGCAGGCAGAACGCGGCGGAGCGGCCAAGGAAAGCCTTCCGCTTTGGGCCGTGGAGCAAAACCGCGCTTCGAGGAGAGCGGGCGGCAGCGCTCGCTGCGGGGTGTGGGGTTAACGCCGCGTCCGGGCGTGCAGCGTTACGGTGCTTAAAAAGATACTTTAAAAAGGTAAAAAAAAAAACAAAACAAAATAAAAACAAAACAACAAAAACCCAAAACGAATGTCGAGATGCCTGTTAGACAAAAGGCCAGCAAAAAAGCGGCAGACAGGCGCTGCACTGAGCGCAGCCCGCCCGAAGCGCACGCTGCAGCACAGCGCTCCCGGCGGCCCCACGCCCTCAACGCGGTCCGCCCGTCTCCTCCCGAGCGCGGCCTCAGGGCGAGTGGGGCAGCCGCCTCAGCCCCACCGCCGACCGAGCCGGGCATTCCGTGAGGCGGCCCCGGACAGTAGCACAGGGGCAGGTTGCTCCGCCCGCCGCCTGAGACCCCGGTGCCGCGCCGCCCGTACCTGGCTAACGATCACATCGTAGAACTCCCGGCGGCAGTCGGTGACGAACATGGCGGCGGCGAAGAAAGAGCTGAGGGAACGGCGGCGGCAGCGGGTCGCCTCCGCTCAAAGTGGGCGCCAAATCAGCGCCACTTCCCATTGGCCGATGGAAAAGCAGCGGTCGTCACTTCGCGGCGCGGATTGGGCGAGACGTCATCCGGGTGTTCGCCGATGACATTGGCAAAAGAGAGACGCGACAGCGAGGCGGGCCAATCGCAGCGGGCCCGGCTCGGCCGGAAGCACCGTGCCAGGCTCCGTTGCCGTTACCGTCATCTTTGTTGGGGGCGGCTTGCTTAGCCGCGAAAACGCGCAGAGAACGAGCGGGAAGCGGGCCGTCTGGGCGCTCGGTGGCGACGAACAGGCTGAGCCGTTATAAAACCGCCACCGCAACGGCCCCAACGGCCTGCGTCACCTCCGAGCTTCTGCCCTCACCCAAGATGGCGGCCGAGGGGCGGTGCCGGGGGCGGTGGAGCGGCGTCCTGCGGCGTAGCGGCCGCGCCCACCCTCAGCGGCAACACCACCGGCAGCAGCGGCGGCGGCGGCGACAGCTGCGACGCCGCGCTTCGCACCGCGCCCCGCACTGCGCCCCGCACCGCGCCGCCGCCATGGTGAGGCCCGGGGGGCGGCGGGGGGAGCGCCGCAGGGGTGGCGGAGCTCGGGGCCGCGGCGCCGCTGACGCTGCTGTTTTCTCCCGCAGTTCTCCTTCAATATGTTCGACCATCCCATCCCCCGCGTCTTCCAGAACCGCTTCTCCACGCAGTACCGCTGCTTCTCGGTGTCCATGCTGGCCGGGCCTAATGACAGGTCAGATGTGGAGAAAGGCGGGAAGAGTATGTACCTGTTTTCTTTGACTCGTAGCCCGTCCAGGTTGGGCGGGCCGGGCGCTGGGCCGCGGTCACGGCCGGGGTGCGCGGAGCTGCTGGGAAAAGAGCCGTCCGTGCTGCGGGACGAGGGCGGGGAGCGCGAGCCGGGCCGGGCCGTGAGCCGCCGCGTTCGGGCACGGCGACCCGTGAGTGATCCCGAGTGATTTCTTGCTCAGAAATGAATCTGTGCGAGTTTTCAGAACAAATGTAAGCGTGGTGATGATAAAATTGCGTTACGTTTTGTTTGTACGGTCATAATTTTCCTGATCTTGCTTTCTTTTTCATATCTGCAGTAATTATGCCACCGTCTGCTTTGGATCAACTCAGTAAGTGAATGTGTGGCTCTGGACTAACAGCTTTATGAAAGGAAAAGAGCAGAAATATGTGAGCACATACGTTACCAAATAGCACGGCAGTTTGGATGTCTGTTTAGTCCTGATCAAATAAAGAACGTGAGATAAGTTCGTTAGGAGTAGCTTTGAGGTGTTGTGCAGGTGAGAAGCCGGGCTGGCAGCGGGCTGCCTGGGGCTGCGTACAAACACACAGCTGAGGGGTGGGCTGCTCGAGATGTGAGCCGGCATTTATGGACTGCTGGTAACTCTGTTAGAATGGTCAGCCAACGATTTCTTATCTCTGCCTGTTGCTTCTGGGTGCTGTTGTCTGAAGAAATTCTGTCTTCAAAAAGAAAATGTAAAAATGAACGTTGAAAGAGCTGAGGCTTTTATTGGTCTACTTAATTCAGGCCATTTTTTCACCCTCTGAAAAAATTCACTTATTCTCAAAGAAATTATTATGTCAGGATTTATCTTTAGAATAGGCAAGAGGTGATGATTAGGTAGGAGCTATCTGATAATAGCAGAAGGGTGTAACAATAATAAATTCCTGTACTAAAATAATACCCAGTGCCCGCTTATCTCTGAGCTCAGGGTGATGTGACTGCTAATCCCAGATCTGGATGTAAACTGAGGCATTTAAGCTCAAAGTGCAATGGCAGTACAGTACTCATGTATCTCCATTCTCTCCTGATTTGTAGTTTTGAAAAGCTGAAATAATGCTGTGAGGGAAATCCTCTCCTATACCATGGCTCAAGCTTTTGCAAATATTCAATCTGTGAAAGCTTCAGAACTGTGCTGTATTTTTATTTCTTCTCTCTCTCCAGGCCGACTTAATATTACTTATCCAATGCTGTTTAAGCTGACCAATAAAAATTCAGACCGAATGACGCACTGTGGAGTGCTCGAATTTGTGGCTGACGAGGGCATATGTTACCTACCACACTGGGTGAGTTGTCTTACGCTGAGCTGTCAGAACCTGAAGAGCAGGATTAAGGAGCTGCAAGGGAGATTAAAGAGATACAGTGTTTCGTGAAATTGCCTGTCCTTGCTAGTCGTGATCCTAAAGCAGCTTTCAGTCACAGCTCAGGTTTCTCTCAGTACGAGTTTAACCAAAACAAAGCAGGATGTTACTTAGGATGCACCTGTTTTCTTCCTGAAATTAAAACGCAGCAATCTGGTGCATTTCAGGGAAGATGGCAGCTGTGGCAAACTGAAGAGAAATAAAAACGTTGGCTGTGTTAACATAGTGGTTTGTATCTTTGTTTTCGTTCTCACAGATGATGCAGAACTTGCTGCTGGAAGAGGGAGGCCTGGTACAAGTGGAGAGTGTTAATCTTCAAGTTGCCACTTACTCAAAATTTCAGCCACAGAGTCCAGATTTTCTCGACATCACCAATCCCAAAGCTGTGTATCCTTTCATTGATGGAGCAGGGAAGAAAAGTTTACTCCCAAGTTGTAATGATGCAGAGCTATCTTTTTGGGCACAGCTCATGCTTTTCTGGTAGTAGGTAGCACTGCTGCCATTTCTGAAAAACAAACAAGAAAAAAGAGCTTACGTTGCAGAATGTTGACACAAAGTGTATCCTGAGGTATAAATAAGCATGAGCCTTGGCTGAAAGTCCCCAGAGTTTAAAAGTGTCCTACAGAAGAACATCTACAGAAGGATTTGTATACTTTAATGTTCATTAGAAGGCAGTCTTCATTACTGACGACTTTTAAAACATGTTTGAGAGAACAAAGATCAGTTTCATAGCATAGTAACTGTAAAGCTTTGATGTTTCACTGGAAAGATAAATCTTAACATACTCCAAAGATTAGAAAATGCATTGAGAAACTTTGCCTGTCTAACTACTGGAGATGTTATTGCCATCAACTACAATGAAAAGGTACATTATGCAGCACCATCCAACGTAGGTTTCATTTATGTACCATCAGTCTGGTGAAACAAATTCAGTTCCATGTAAAGTACTCCATAGCTCAGTATTGAGGCCGCATAAATACTTTGACTACATCTTTGACTACATATCTTGTGGTAGATATGTATGTATATTTTAGATGTGAGTTAGTAGGTGAAGCTTTTGGCAGCACACACATTGATTATTTGGGATTGTAGACTAAGCACAATTCTTGATGGCTAAATAATCAGCATAGAGCTGTACAATATTGGCAAATAATCACAGATGGTAGATTTTGCAGTCAGTTTGCTGTTGGAGAAAGAAAGAGGTCAGTTCAGTCATCTTTTTACCCACGAGTTGGGGTAAGAGTACTGTTGATGTTCTTACAAATCATGAGGAAAAAATTATTCTGAATACAGAAGTTAATTTCAGAAGTGCAGATGAAGGTACTGTAAGAGTGCAGCACGATAGAGTCTAGGTAGGTTCTCTAGTGCATATATGTAGCATCTTCAATAAAAGACTTTGTTGTTGTGTGTTCTATAGACTCTGAATTATACAGTCCTTTGCCTACAGAGCATTTCAGTTTGTTTGAAGGTTCCAGAAGGGAAGGAGTTAGCTATGGTTTTCTTACACGTAGGATAAAATGCATCCATTGTAAGATGTGCAATCTTAAAATATTCAAAACTGTTTCAGATCTATGAGCTTCGGGTAATGGAGACCAAGCCAGATAAAGCAGTGTCCATCATAGAATGTGATATGAACGTAAGTTACAGCTACTGTGGGAAGTCTGGTCTTACTGTGCCTCTGCAAAAGGAGAGGGCATCTCATGAGCTGGTGGCACTGGGCACCAGGAGAGGTAGCATCAGACGGGATAGGGAAGGGGACTCATTGAAGAGCACCTTGGACCTCTGTAACCACACCTCTGCTTGTGTGCTGCACTGATGTGCCATCAAGTCACTTTGGTGCCTGGAACGTTATATTTAGATTCAACATGTCTTGTAATCTGAAGAGTCTTATTTAACAACCTTGTCTTGATTTAATCTCCAACGGCACTGAGTTCTGTTTTACTGATCTGTTTCAATTACATGCTAAGATTCATCCCTGGGGAGGCTTGGTCTTTTTGTTCTGAATTTTATTTGTTAAATATATGTGTGTATATAAATATATTTAATATTAAAGCCTCAGCTTTTCCTTGTGATTTCTAGATTAAGGTTGGAACAGTGGTTTCTGGAGTTCTGAGGAATAGTAGTATAAAGCTTACGATTAAAAGAGAAATGCTTGTTGTGCTTCTTTTCCCTCTGTCAATAGGTGGATTTTGATGCTCCTTTGGGGTACAAAGAACCAGAAAGAAGTGCTCAACATGAAGAGACCACAGTAAGTTAAGCTTCTGTTTTGCAAAATGCGTTCCCTAGTAATCTGCCTCCGTTGTGAGGGAGCAGTGTGTACCTATATATATATATTTCTTTTTCCCAAAACAATTTAAGTCTAAAACTTACTGACCTGTTGCTTTTGCTTGAGTTACTTAGGAGTGGTTCTTTAATAGCTGTTAGCTTTTGGAAATGGATTTTTCTAAGGCTTTGTTTGGTCAGAAGTTTATGGAGCAGTTTACATTTATTTTGCTTATTACAACATGAACACTGTGAAGTAACTCATTTTTTGTCTGCCAGGATGTTGAAGCAGACCACAGTGGTTATGTGAGCGACGTAGGATTCCGGGTAAGTCCTCTCTTTCTGCTCTTTTCTGAATGTTGTGAAAGGGTGAGAGAGGGTTGGGGTGTGGCTGTCATTAACCAGCAGCTGTCTGCAGGTGTTTTGTGGTGTATACAACCAGTGACAGTATGACTTGTCCTTAATGTGCCAGTCTAAAAACAGCTGAAACATACCTCTACAACCAGGGTTTATCAGCTTACTACATGTGCAAAAAAACCCATTCTGAATCAAACTAAAGATTACAGAAGACTTTTTGGTGGCGCTTTTTTATTTGTTTGTTTCTAGCAGAATGTAATATCCCTGTGCTCTCAAATACAAGGTACTATTAAATTCAAGCTCACGTTTGTATACACAGGCATTCTCTGGCTCTGGAAACAGGTTGGATGGCAAGAAGAAAGGTGTTGAGCCCAGCCCGTCACCAATTAAACCAGGAGACATTCGGAGGTATGTGTTCTGTCAGTTGTCAGCAAGTGAACTGATAGAGAGCAGTGTTTCTTCTTTAATGTATTTATGCCTCTTTTCCAGAGGAATACCCAACTATGATTTCAAGATTGGCAGAATCACGTTCATTAGAAACTCGCGTCCGCTGGTTAAGAAAGTGGAAGAGGTCAGTAAAGTTGTGAGCTTCCATTTGTGCACAGAACTAGAAGGTTCAAACTGTTTTCCGTGTTTGTTTCCTCTCTCCATACTCAATTTCTCCCAGAACACTTATGTTACGAAGATGTATGAGTGAGTTTGCTTTAGATTAAGTCGGCCTCTGTCCTTGCTTGCTAATATGAGATTGCACTGATGTAAGTTGAATAAGCTAGTGAACACTTTATGCGGATTGTGCGTCGTGGAAACGCTAGTGTTTTATTTTTGGAAAGAAAGCAGTAATTATGTAGATTAAGGATGTGAAAGATGGGCGGTCTTTTGCCGCTCTGATGGAGTATTTTTTATAATAATTGCTCAGCTTTGATCGTTCAAGCAGTGAGCAGAGAGGTGATGCCCTTTTTTCTCTGCATCCAGGATGAAGCTGGAAGCCGGTTCATCGCCTTCTCAGGGGAGGGCCAGTCCCTGCGCAAGAAGGGAAGGAAGCCCTGAGGTGTGAGACCTCCTGCTGCCGGGAGGAAAATAAAATAAGAATTGCAGCATATTGGATGTTAGTTATTGCAGTTGCAATACAAGAACACTGTGCTGTCAGGCGGTGTTGATTTTCACTTGAAAATTAAGTTCTACAAATTCTTTGAGTTCTAGGGATTTTTTCCTATGCATTGCAAAGGGGGTAAGTATGTGCTGGAGAAGTCTGAGAAGCAAAAGCAGCTCTTAGCAAACAGCCTGCCCTCTTCTCTCCTGGTGTCGGCGCTCTGCTGTTGCTCTGTGCTTGGTACTTTCCCCTCCCTGTAGGCACCGTGCAGGTGAGCTTTGTGCTGTGGTGATCCTAGCTCCAGGTGCTGGGATGTGATGAAGCCCAAGGAACTCAGTTTCTAATGCTCTTCATAACTAGTAACATGCTTCATAATAACTAGAGAACCTCTTGTAGCAGTCTGGGGGGAGACAGCCGCCTCCCCTCAGGCACGGGAGGTGGGATCTCAGTAATAAACAAAGCTGTGCTCCTTCCTCAGTCGTGGCTTAAAACCTGGAGTAAAGGTTCCTAAATAACCTTCGTGCTGTACCGGAGTGCTGCTTTGTGGGGGGGAAAAAGAGTGGAGAGGGGCGACGGGCATGCTGAGGGGGCGGGGCCGCGGCGGGGTCACGTGCTTAGCACGCAGCCCGGGGCGGCCATTATCCGAAGGGCGCGGCGACGGCCGCTTTGTGCCGCCCCGTGCCATTGGCCGGGCGCGCGGGACGCTCCTGTAAGCGCGGCGGCGATTGGCGGCTGAGCTCCGAGAGGGACGCGCAGCGGGGACGGCATGGCCGGCGCTGAGAGCTGGCGGGTGAGCGGGGGGCGGCGGGTGCGGGCGGCTCCCCTCGGCCTCGCGGCTCCTTTCCCCTCAGCGCCCGCTCTGTCCGCAGCCTCCGCGGCCGTGCGAGGACTACTGGTGGGAGTGGAAGCACTGTCGAGGGCTGCGGCACGCCTTCCACCACTACTACGCGCACGGAGAGCTGCCCGCCTGCGACCGCTGGCGAGACGACTACGCCGCCTGCCGCGCCTGGGAGAACGAGCGCGCCACCGCCGCGCGGGTATCGCCGGGTCTGGGGGCGGGGAGGAGAGGAGATGGGGCGGGAAGGGAGGGGCTGGGCTGGGCTGCCTGCGCCGCCGGGGTCGGCACAGCGACCGCGTGTGTTTCAGGAGGCGCTGTGCGAGAGCGAACGAGCGCGCGTCCTGGAGCGGAAGAAGCACGGCGCGGTGTGGACGCTGCGGAGCAGCCCGCCGCCCGACTGGCACCGCCCGCTGCAGCACGGCGCGGCCAAGTAGCGGCGCTGCCCGCGGGGCTCTGCCGTCACTGCCGCAGCTCCGCCCCGCGCCGCTGCCCGCCCGCACTACAGTTCCGGTCAGAAAACTTACTAATAAACACCCGCTGTGGTGCGGAGTCAGGCGCTGAGTTTGATTCGGGTTCCTTGCGGTCGCTCGGCTCTCATTGCAGCAGCTCCGCAGCCGGCACGGCTCGGCGCACGGCCAGGTGGGGACGTGGAACGGAGCTGGGGCCGCGTCCCGCCGGCACGGTGCCGGCACACTGCGTTCGGAAAGCATTGCCTGGTTCGGCCCTGCCGTGTGTGAGAGCTCCTCGGCGCCGGGATGGCGCTGCGGGCTGAAATACGGCTGCCGCTGGAGAGCATTTCTTGAACAGCAGCGTGCCTTCCTTCTATTTACTGTGAAAATAAAGGTTTCAATGACCGGAGTGAGATCTGCTTTGGCTTAGGGCAAACGTTATCCGAGGCTTACTCAGTTCTTTACCAGGTAATAAGGAAGCTATTTTTCCCTTTGACAAGGGAAAAACTTTCCATCAGTTTTTCCTCTGTTTTATTAAAAACCACTGAAATCTGAAGCAAAAAAAGGCAGTGATCAGTCAGCTACTGCCTCCCTGCTGGTGCGGTCTCGTAATGACTGCCACGTTCCTCCCTTGCATTTTAAGAGCCTTTATATCTGTGGTTTGTGCAGAGCAAAACACTCCTCAGGAGCACGTGGAGAGATGAGGCACAGCTCTGCTCGATGTTTTATTACTTTTTTTTATTATAGCTTGGCAGTTTTAAAAAAAATCAAATACACTTAGAGAATTTTCTTTGTTTTTACAGTCATGCACCTACTGTGTTTGAGCATGCCAAAGGAACCAGTAGCTCTCACTCCCTTCTTCAGTCAGCCGAGCAGCTTATGCCAGGTGAACAACAAACGCCATCACTGCGTGTACACTTTGGTGATATCGATGCACTTTCCTTCAGGAGGATCATAACCAGGAAGTGCTGGGGTATAATCAGGCCCATCTCTCTCAAAGGGGAACAGCTCCTCGTCCCGTCTGATGGCTGCCTGGTAGAGCTCCTCAGATTCCAGGCGCAGTTCTTTTAGTGCCTCTTGCTGAGCTTCTACAAGGCTCCGAATTGCTTCCTTCTCTGCCTTGTCTTGTTGCTGCTTATACAGAGACCACTTTTTCATAAGTAAAACTCTTCTTTCGGTTTCCTCAAATGAGAGAGGAGGAAGGCTTCGCACCCTGATGGGGAGAAATGTGACACTAACAGGGAAAGTGCCCGCACCTCAAAAAGCAACACAAGAACCACCACCACCACTCACCGTACATCTAAAAAAACTCAGAATATATTTCTCTCACACTGTGCCTGTCTTGGAGGCTTTCCACAGGCATTCCAACAGCACATTCACATGACTATGTTTCAGTTTTTTAGCAGAAACAAATGATATTTACTTTCCACGATTTTGTCAGCGGCACCTCACACAAAGGCTGGCACTGCACTGCAGCGTGGTGGAGAAAGAAGCAGAGGTGTGTTTGCACCACGAATGCAAGCTCAAGGTGACAGGCAGTCTTACTTACCTGTTGCTATCTGAAAACTTCAGTGGGGTTTCAAAATCCTCAATGGGAATCAGTTCTGGAGCAGCTTTTTCCAACTTTTTAATCTTCTTTTTCACACGATCCTTCTGTGCTTGCTCTCTCTTTGGATCCACTTTCTTTTTTTTCTTTGGTTGTGCTCTAGCAAGATAATTACATGAATAAAAGAAGATATCACTCTCACTGAATCCAATCTAACATCCCTTAATGTTCCTAAGAACTGTTATTTCCCATTGCTTAACCTGGTCCTTAATAGAAGTTCCAGCCATTACCTTTACACAAGTAAATCAAAGTAGTTTCTGTGAGACAGCAGCAGGTGCTGTGAGATTTTCTGTACAGAGCCATACCTGCCTGAGAAGCCCAACCGTGAGATCCGTGCTACAGCGCAGCATTTCTTTTTCTTTTCCGACTTGAGGAAATCCCACTGAGACTGAACCAGGATTGGCTCCTGCTCGCTCAGCACGCAGCGGAGGGGTAACGTGTTTAGCTACAAGCATTCCTGTCACCTCACATTAAGGAGGTCAGAGAGGGTGGTTTTACACATCCTTTTAACACTTCCACATTTGGAAGCAAATTCAGGGAGCGAGTATTTCTCTGCTGTTGTGCTTACCACACCTACTACTATAGGCAAGACAGCGTGTGCCACGCTCCACAAAGACCAAAATCCAACCCTCGCAGAGGGCCCACAGGTTACCGGGAGGGGGGCTGGAGCTTCTTGATCCTTGCGGTCCATTCCAACCCCAGCCTTTCTACGATTCTATGATTGTCCTTCCTACCGTGCAGATGGGAACTCCGCGCGTCCATGGAGCACCCAGCAACTTACTCTGCGCTGCCGCACAAACTCATACCGAAGCAAAGGCAGCCCAGTTCCCACAGCAGGCACAAAGCACCGCAGGCCCACACGTGCACAAAGAACGCGAAGCGGCCTCTCCGAGGGCAGCTGCTAGCTGGCAGGCTGCTTTAAGCCGAACGACATCAAAACAAACCGGAGACACCGAGACGCGACGTTCGGCGACGGGTCCGCAAAGCATCAGCAGGGCGCCGCGCTCACCTCACGGGCAGCAACGCCGTCCCGGCCAGCACGGCCGTGTCCCAGTGGCTGCCGCGGCACGGGGCCGGGCGGGGCAGCCGGGAGCTGCGGAAGAAAAGGCACAGTGTGAGGGAGGCCGGGCGGCCGCGGGAGCCATCGGTGCCGAGCCGCGGTGACGGATCACGGCGGGGGTTGGGGGAGCGCGGCCGAGGAGTTCTCACAGCCGCCCTTCCACCGCGGCCCGTTCGGAGGAACGAAGCCGAAACGGGGACGAGACCCCCGCCCCGCGCCGCTCAGTCGGAAGGGCCGCGCCTGGAACCTCACCCCGCCGCCCCGCGCCGCTCCGCGTCCTACCTGAGCCCCCGCGCGGCCGCCAGCATGGCTGCGTACGGCTGCCAGGCTGCGCTCGCACAGCTCCGCTCCGGGCCGGGAACGCCCCGCCCCGCCCCGCGCGCAGGCCGCGCCTCCGCAGCCCCGA